AGGAATGTTTAAGGACAGTGGTGCTAAACAAGAGGGAATGGGAAGTTAGAGACTATCTTAGTGAGAAGGGAGCCCACACTGAGAGGAAGTCTGAGTGACAGAGTGGCTACACAAGGAAAAACAAGGATGGCTATGTTTGTAAGAGGAACTGAAGTCTGGTTCTGGATAGACCAAGGCCCAATTTAAGGAGAATTTACAGGGAATAGATCTCCGTGCAAAATAATGAGGCCCAAGTGAGGGCCAGAGACCATAAAGCCAAATCTGGGGACAAAGGGTCTGGTGTGGGGAACTAATGAGCTTCAGACAAGTTATGGAGGGGAGTGCAACAAGTCCAGGGGAAAAAGAAATGAGGAAAGGGCTGGGCCCTAACATTAAATGGAGGCCATTCTGAATTAAATGGAGCAACTGGAGTTAAACATTGTGAGGAATCAGGAAATTATGGAACAGTTTCAGAGAAATGTTTGGAGCAAAAATAAGGGATATACTAGCGGGAAAGAAAGTGAGAGGGGCTGCCTTGGAGAAAGAGGAGAAAAGAAAACTGACCAATGAATTCTGCCTCGTTTGGACTGAGATAAGGATGGCTGATGCCAAGTTAGAAAACCACTGGTTCTGAGTTTCAAAAAGATGCACAGCCTTTCTCTGCAATTAGTGAGGAAGATTGGGGTTAGGTCTTGACGGAGGAAACTTGCAAACACCTGTGTCCTGAGTATAGCACCCGATTTGAAGGCACTACAGGTTCAGGAAAAGGAGCAAGCCCTTAAAGTTCTTCACTGAAAGTGGGCTGAGTTCTGTGGCTTAATGATCTAAAGATGGAGTTCAGTTAAGATGGGAAGTAGGGTGGGAAGGAGCTAATGCAGCTAGACCCACAAGGGAAAGGTTCTGGTTCATGTGCTGGGACCTCCGAGCACACAGGGCATGTGCTGGAGGGAGCCATGACCCACACTAGCTGAGACCAGGGGTGGATCACGGTGTGGAGACCCTGGTGAGGTGTGCCCCTCCCTCATGGAAAAAATTCATTTTAAAACTTTTTGTAAATGAGAAGGGGTTCAGATGAGTTCCAATTGAGAGAAAGTGTGTAGAGTGTGAGTGTTAAGAAGGGTGATGGGGGAGCACCATTAGGGGAGCAGGATGATCAGAATCAAGTCCAATGTGCGAAATAAGAATGACGTTGGGAGACAGGGAAAAAGGAGTCTAACTGGGAGAGGAGTGTGAACGGAGGAAAAGATGAAGCTGGACTGAGGGACCAAAGGGTGGGCTGGACACCCTCGTCCAGACCACTAGGCCTGGGGTGGGGGGGAAACTGGAGGGTCATGGGTACCTTGAGAACAGAAGGATGGGGCCTGACTTGGGGGGACAGCGATAAGAGTCGAGTCTGGTTGGGGGTGCAGTTGCCATTAGATAGTGGATTCAGAGGGAAGGATTAAGTACACGGGAAGTAGAAAGGTTTCGAGAAGACGAGAAACGATCTGGGGAGCCTGAATGCGGGAGAAAGCCCGGTTCGGGGAACGGGGCACCATTCACAGGGCTAAAGGAAGGGGGGGACCTTACTGGAAGGCTGGGCCCTGATTTGCGGGGGCTTTCAGGGAGGAGGCCCGGATGAGGGGGATGGGCCGGGCAAGAGGGAGGGGGCGAAAGGACGGAAGGAGGCCCAGTCACGGGCCTGGGGGAGCAGAAGTGGGGAAAGGACCAGGGGGGGGGCGGATGGGCCCGTTGGGGAGCGGGGGCCGGCTAGGTGGCGGGGGAGGAGGCCCTCGGGGCCGATGAGGAAGGATGGGGGCGGGGAGCCTGGGCCGGGCCGTTACCTGTCCTGGGTGTTTATCATACTCGG